GTTACTGTTACACGAGAAACTATCTGTTCTGTAAGCCTTCACCTGAAGTACAATAAAATATTAAAAAAAAAAAAGACAGAAAAGAACAAAATGGAACTTGCTCTTGAACATAGAGTAGCTAAAGCAAACAGAAGAAATGATGACGTAAAAGAGCTGAACAGGAGATTTCAAAGAGTGGCTCAAGAAGACAAAGTAAAGTATTATAATAAAATGTGTAAAAACCTGGAGTTAGAAAACCAAAAAGGAAGAACGTCCTTGGCACTTCTCAAGCTGAAAGAATTGAAGAAAAAATCCAAACCTAATACTGCAATATTGAAGGATTCTACCGGAAAATATTGAATGATACAGGAAGTATCAAAAGAAGATGGAAGGAATACACAGAGTCACTGCACCAAAAAGAATTGGTCGACGTTCAACCATTTCAGGAGGCAGCATATAATCAAGAACCCATGGTACTGAAGGAAAAAGTTCAATCTTCACTGAAGGCACTGACAAAAAACAAGGCTCCCAGGAATTGACAGAATACCAATTGAGACGTTTCAACAAAGGGAGGCAAAGCTAGAGGTGCTCACTCATCTATGCCAAGAAATTTGTAAGACAGCTACCTGGCCAACTGACTGGAAGAGACCCATATTTGTGCCCATTCCAAAGAAAGGTGATCCAACAGAATGCAGAAATTATCGAACGATATCTTTAATATCACACACAAATAAAATTTTGCTGAAGATAATTAAAAAGCGGTTGCGCAGTACATCGACAGGGAACTGCCAAAAATACAAACCAGATTCAGAAGAGGACGTGGAACCAAAAATATCATTGCTGATGTCAGATGGATCTTGGTTGAAAGCAGAGTATACCAGAAAGATATTTACCTGTGCTATGCAAAGGCATTCGACCTTGTGAATCATAACAAATCGTGGATAACATTGCAAAGAATAGGAATTCCAGAACACTTAATGGTGCTCATGAGGAACCTGTACATAGACCAAGAGGCAGTCGTTCGAATAGAACAAGGGGATACTGTGTGGTTTAAAACCAGGAAAGGTGTGCATCAGGTTTGTATACTTTCACCATACTTATTCAATCTGCACGTTGAGCAACTAATCCAAGAAGCCGGATTATATGAAGAAGAAATCGGCATCAGAATTGGAGGAAGATTCATTAACAACCTGCGATATGCAGATGACACAACCTTGATGGCTGAAAGTGAAGAGAACTTGAAGCACTAACTGATGAAGATCAAAAACTACAGTCATCAGTATGGATTACACCTCAACATAAAGAAAACAAAAATCCTCACTACTGGACCAATAAGCAACATAATGATAAACGGAGAAAAGATTGAAGTTGTCAAGGATTTCATTTTACTTGGATCCACAATCAATGCCTATGGAAGCAGCAGTCAAGAAATCAAAAGAGACATTGCATTGGGCAAATCTGCTGCAAAAGACTTCTTTAAAGTGCTGTAAGGCAAAGATGTCACTTTGAGGACTAAGGTGCACCTAACCCAACCATGATATTTTTAACAGCCTCATAATGCATATGAAAGCTGGACAATGAATAAGGAAGTCCAAAGAGGAATTGATGCCTTTGAATTATGGTGTTGGTGAAGAATACTGAATATACCACGGACTGCCAGAACAACAAACAAATACATCTTGGAAGAAGTACAGCCAGAATGCTCCTTGGAATTGAGGATGGCGAAGCTTCATCTCAAGTACTTTGGACATGTTATCAGGAAGGATCAGTCCCTGGAGAAGGACATAATGCTTGGTAAGGTAGAAGGTCAGCAAAAAAGAGGAAGATCCTCAATGAGATGGTTACAGTGTCTGTAACTACGGGCTCAAACACAGCAACAATTGTGAAGATGGTGCCGGACCGGGCAGTGCTCTGTTCTGCTGTACATAGGGTTGCTGTGAGTTGGAAATGACTCGACGGCACCTGACAACAACAATATATAGTCAAAAGTATTTATCAATGCAAGGTAATGGTAAATACAAAATATATGAGACTGGTTACCTCTGGTGAGAAGATGAGAGGATGAGACCCAAAAGGTACACTAAGCGTACTGACAATGTTCTAGATCTTAAGTTGGGTGGTAGGTTCATGGGTGTTTATACTACTCTTATTCTTCATAAACTCACACAAATTATCTATTATTTCACATATAGCAAATATTTTGCTATAAATAGTATTTGCAGAATCTCTATGATGGGCACTGAAGATGCTTAGACCTGCCTACCCTTAACATGTCTTTGAAATCTGAGACCACGGCTGGAATCTTGTATCTTAATTTGTCCTTGAGCTGGTTACTGACCGTTTATAGATCTAAGTTTTTTCATAAAATAATGGTGATAATATCTGCCTCATCAGGTTTATGAAGAGAAATAATAAGCTTAGATTACTAGACTATAACCTCGACGGTAAGCAGGACTATGTCTGTCTTGGTCACCTATGCATCCATCCCCAGTGAATGAATCTCAAACTAAAATTCAGGATATTTCAATTTGGGTCTTGCCATCATTAGGACAATAGGTCAAAATAAACCTCAGGAGGGTCGTTCCTAAGACTTAACACACACGCACTCTGGCTATCACATGCTGAAGGTGGGCACGTCCTGCTGAGAAAGAACACGGGAAACCCAACCCTCCAGCCTTGTATGATACAGCAGGGGAAGTTTACAAACTCATTCAGGCTGGAAACCTAAGATTTAGGTTCAGCTAGTCTGCTTCCATCACTTTTGTGACAATCCTGAGTGTCTTCTCCTCACAATGTGAATTACTTCTCTAATCTGAATTCATAGTTCAGCCACCTTAGGTCAGATCTTTCCGGTTCAGAGGCACTGTAATAGCTGCCAAATGAAAGTGTGAAAATGCAGAGAATATGATAAACAAGACCAACTGAGAGAAACACAGCCATTTCAATTCCTCCCAGAAGCTGTCAGCTGACTTACCTGATGTTTTCCAGGGCATTTGTTATCTGCTGTTGTTCAATATCACAGAGTTTCACCTTGAAGCCTCCACTGGCAAACAACATAGCCCAGCTTTGCCCAATGAGGCCACTAAAGGGAAAAGAAAATTAAGAAAGGTGTCAGGTTAACTTAATAACTGAACAGTTTCTTATTCCTAATCCAGAAAAAAAAATTTAAAAATTATACAGCATCCTATTCTTAAAATATTTAACATCTTAAAATTACATATTCTGATAACTTTATTTAAAATGTCTTCTGTTTTCACATTGGTGTTCCTGAATCCTAGACTCAAGCGCCAGCATTAATAGTCCACATGGAGTACCATCAGATGCCAGGTAGTTATCATACACTCACATGGAAAAAAAAAAATCATACCAGGGAGTTGGCAGGATGTCACAGAGGTGAAACGCCCCTATGTGAACCCCTATTTGACCGTTGTCTTAGGCAATTCACTCAACTTGAAAAAGAGATAGCATTTGCCCCTTCCTCCTCAAATAAGTAATTACTACAACTACCATCAGCATTTGCACATTTATTAGGTGCCGGGCACTATTACCTCGACCATCTGTCCATTTGTTGTACTGTGGAGGCTTGCATGTTGCTGTGATGCTGGAAGCAATGCCACCGATGTTTCACATACCAGCAGGGTTACCCACTGTGGTCAGGTTTCAGCACAGTTTCCAGACTAAGACAGACTAGGAAGAAAGACCTGGAGATCTATTTCTGAAAACTAGTCAATGAAAACCTCATGGATTACAACAGGACACTGTCTGACTCACTTGCTTTGGACACGTCATTAGGAGGGATCAATCACTGGAGAAGGATATCATGTTTGGTGAGGTGGAGAGCCCTCGAGAACTCTCGGTGAGGTAGGAGACCCTCACCGAGATGGACTAGCACTATAGCTACAATGATGGACTCAAACATGACTGTGATTGTGAGGATGAGGCAGGACCAGGCAACATTTCAGTCTGTTGTACGTAAGGCCACCATGAATCAAAGTCGACTCGATGGCAACTAGGTACCCTGAAACACTTTACATGTATTAGTTTTGTTAATCTTTACAACAACTCCGTAAGGTAGGTGCTATTATTTCTATTTTTATGCATGGGAAAACTGAGGCACAGAGGAGTTAAAGCAACACGGATGTAAGTGCTGAAGCTACAGTATGAACCCAAGCAGTCTAAGTCTTGAGTCTTTACTTTTTTTTTTTAATAATTTATTTTTTTTTGTTGTTCTTGTTCAGAATACAGGAAATCTCCAGATTATGAACAAATTCGTTTCTAAATTTGTCTTTAAGTCAAATTTGTACATAAATCAGAACAGTTAGGTACAGCTGGCATCTAACATCAGTTAGTCAGATGTTTGTCTTAGTATATAGTATACCGTGTACCTTTCTATGCATAAAAAACATTAAAGAAACACTTCCAGATACACTAAAACATCTGTAACATAATAATACAGTAACAATAATGTTTTGATACGTGTCACAAAGTAGCACCCATTTGTTATTATGAACCATTGTATGTACCTTCTCCACAGTTGAAGAGATGTCTACAGGGCAAACATTGCCCAAAATACTAAGAAGATTCTGTTCTATAAAATCTTCGAGACCAATTAGATACTTTACTGTAGACTCAGAACTAAAAACTCTACATTGTACCACTGGTCCTCATTTCTGCTGGGTTTTGAACCCTCCTCAGCAGAGGCAAGGAGGGTTGGGGGTGTGGGTAGGATGGTGCTGGGGCCAGATGAATCATTCCCCCATCACCTCTTCACCAGACCTGTCAACCCCACACACCAATTATGAAGCCCCTGCCTTGGGGTACAAGGGAGAAAGTGCCACTCAGGACATGCTAAGAGTGAGCCCAGGGCATAAGGGTGGGGAAGGGAACGCTTAGGGAAACCCCAGCCCAAAATTCTCCACGGACTCCTGGAAATCATATGGAATATACAGAGGTCAGGAATCTAAGACTGCTCCCCCACCACCACCCTGCCAGCTACCAAAGGGCCAATAACTGCTGCAATAGTGAAATCCCACATGTGTAATGCAGGGGAAGCAGAAGCCCAGAGAGGTGCTGCAATGGCCAGGGCTGCACAACACGGAGGGCCTAGTGGGATGGATGGGGCAGAGCTGGGTAGAAGGGCATGCAGAGGCATGGTCAGGTGCCCAGAGTGGCGCATTGACTGGTTATACTAGGAAAACAAGTAGAGTGCAGGTGGCCACATCCCGGGCTGCCAGCCACCACCATCTGCAGGCTAGCCATGCAGAGCAGAGTGGGTGTGCTTGGGACACGGGAATGGTAGGGCTGGCCCTTTCTGAGCTCTGAGGGAGGTGGGTACATGTGGGCTCTCCGCTGCTGTGGGCCAAGGCTGGGCACACTATGTCACAGGGGTCGGCCTGCCAACAGCCTCCCAAGGACCCACTGTGGCACCTGCACACGCAGGAGAAGTACAGCCTGTAGTGGGAGCCGACAGCCCCTGAACACTGAGTCAGTTATTTTCCCGATAGGCTTTATGGGGGTTGGTTCGCAACTTCGGGTTGCACGTAAGTCAGCTGTTCCTAACCCAGGGACTGCTTATATACACAGAACACAAACCAACTCAACAATTTCTATGTGTACAATTTAGTGGCATTGATTACGTTCTTCAAGCTGTGCAACGATTCTCACCTTACTTTTCCAAATTGTTTCTCCCCCATTAACATAAACTCACTGCCTCCTAAGTTTCCTATCTAATCTTTTGAGCTTCTATTGTTAGTTTGATCCCATATAGGCAGTTCTTAAAAGAGCACAATGCTCAAGGCAGACGTCTTTACTAGTTCAGTCCCTACTTTTAACTAGCACATTGCTTGTCTTTTAGAAAATGCAAAGATAAAAAGGCATGAACGACTCAGATGGGGTTGCTCAAAGGGGTAAATATGAACGTATGAAGTACACCTAATACTCAGATCTTGGTTTCCAATACCATTCTCCAACAAAAGGAGCCAGAGAGATTCTTGGAGAACTGGCTGATTCTAGAACTGGGCAGAAAATGTGCAAGATGAGCCTGGAACATCTTGTAGTGCCAGAAAGTTAAAAAGCGCTCAAAAACAACAACAACAAAAAAACTACATTGATGGGGGTACGTCAAAGGGATACATGAGCCAACTGAAAGAGCTTCTAATAGCCAAAGCTGGAAAAATTTGAGCAAAACAATAAATAAAGTATATTGGATTATAGCCCAAATTATAAAATAAATATCTATGGGTCCATAGTGATAGAAATAGACGACTGAATAAATAAATGGGAGAGAAGAGACATATCTCCCTTGCAGAAGCATTCTAAGTGATATAGGTAGATATCTGCTCTAAAGGAGGGGAAATATTAACTCCCCACTCCTTGAGTGTGGACTGTGTATAGTGACTTCCTTCCAAAGAGTACAGTATGGAAATGGGGGGAAAAGTAACTTTACAGTGGAGAAACTGACAAATAATATCTCAGCCAGGTTATCAGGATTAACGTCATCAGTGATAAGTCATCTTGATAGCATGTACCCTTGCTATGATGTGATGAGAATGGCACTTTACCTCTGTGGTTTTCCTTCCAAAACCCTATAACCTCAGCCTAATCATGACAAAAATACCAGAAAAATACAAAAAAAGAACATCCTACAAAATACCTGGCCAGTAGTCCTCGAAACAGTCAATGTAATCAAAACACGAGAAAAATCTGAGAAACTGTCACTGCCAAGAGAAGCCTAAGGAAACATTACAACTAAATGTAATGTGGTATCCTGGGTGGGATCCTAGGTGAGGACATTAGGTAAAAACTAAGGAAATCTGAATAAACTATGGATTGGAGTTAATAATAATGTATCAATATTAGCTCATTAATTACAACAATGTACCATACTAAAGCAAGATGTTAATAATAATAGGGAAACTGGGTAAGGGAATATATGGCAACTCTCAGTACCATGTTTGCAATTTTTCTCTAAATCTAAAATTGTTCCTAAAAAGTAAAACTTATTTTTAAAAAAATGAATGTATGTGACAGCAATTCCACTCCTTTACCCAAGAGAAATAAAAACATATGTCCACACTAAAATTAGTACATGAATGTTCATTAACAGCATTATTAAAAATAGCCAAAAAGTAGAAAGCCTAAATTCCATAAACGTGCAAATGGATAAACAAAATGTGGTATATCCATACAGTGGGGTACTGTTTGGCCATAAAAAGAAATGAAGTACTGATACATGCTACAACATGGATGAACCTTTAAATCATTATTCTAAGTGAAAAAAGCCAGTCACAAAAGGCAAAAAAGGTCACATATGATTCCCCTTATATAAAATGTCCAGAATAGGTAAATCCATAGAGACAGAAAGTAGACCAGTGGTTGCCTTGGGCTGAGGGAAGGGAGGGATGGGGAGTGACTGCTAATGGGCAAGGGGTTTCTTTTCGGGGTAATGAAAATGTTCTAAAATTAATTCTGATGATGCTTGTTCACCTCTGTGAATATACTAAAACCCACTGAATTGAACACTTTAACTGGGTGAATTATATAGTATGTAAATTATATTTCAACACAGCAGTTACAAATGAATGTATGTGAACATGCTTTGAAAACCAACTCTTGCCACACAAATGTAAAGCGGTAATAATTAGTACTTAAATGTGGGAAACAAATAACGCAGGGAGTTACCTTGAACTGTGCTTATAATTCTTTCCATTAAGTACTTGTCTAGTGTGTGTGTGCATGCGTGTGTGTGAGTGTTCAGTCAGAGGTGAGGGGAAGAAGGATCTCCTAGATTATTCGCCTAGACTATCATCAAGCTAGGTGGCTTTTTTTCAGATGAGGTGGCTATACGTTGGTTCACACAGCTAATACACAGCAAAACTCAATCAGGCCTGTCTAACTCCAATTCCAAAATCCAGTGCTATTTCCATTACAACTGCAGCAAATCCAAGCTAGCCTACCTAAAACAGTACATCACAACATTAACCTCACATATCACAAGGGAAGAGTATAGCACAACTTTCCTCATGATCTATGCACTAACATATGCATTTGATAATTCTCCCCAGGGACGTAAGACATACTAGC